CCGTTTCTCTTGCTGACCCCTCCGGCGGTCCGGTAGTCGCCCGCAGTTCCACCACCCTTCCCTGTCCGGCGGTTCCTTCGGGCACTCTCACAGGTCTGCATATCCCCTCGTTCTCCAGGAACCTAGTTGGTGTCGGCTGCCTCCAGGACCTTGGCGTCACCACTACGTTCCCTGATTACGAGCGGTATGCTGTCTGTACCGAGGCTGCCACTGGTGCCCCCCTGTCCACGTTCCCCCGGGACCCGGTGTCCGGCCTGTTCACTCTGGACACCGTGACCCCCCCGGCTGGAGCGCTCACCCGGGTTGCTGCTGCCTGCTCCTGTCGGTCCCTCACTCACCCGACCCTCCTTTGGCACCACCGCCTAGGTCACCCTGCGCTCCCGCGTCTGCGTCACATGTCCCAGCACGGTCTTGTCCTTGGTCTCCCAAGTTCTCTCCCCGCGTTTCCCTCCTCCCCCGCCCCCCCTTGCACGCCTTGTGTCGAGGGTCGGCTTTGCCGTGCCCCTCACTCCTCCTCGTTTCCCCCTACCGCCGCGCCGCTGCAGACCCTGCACCTGGACGTCTGGGGCCCCGCCCCCGTCCCTGGGCCGCGTCGAGAGCGCTATTTCCTTGTGCTTGTCGACGACTTCACTCGTTACACTACAGTCTTTCCCCTGGAGCGCAAGGCCGACGTGCCTGGCGCTCTCATCCCCTGGCTTGTCTCTGCGCGTGTCCACCGCGGTTTCCCTGTCTTGCGTCTTCACTCAGACCGTGGTGGCGAGTTTGCCTCAGGTGTCCTTGGTCGCTTTTGTCGTGCGGAGGGCATCACCCAGACGTTCACCCTACCGGACTCCCCACAGCAGAATGGGGTCGCTGAGCGACGCATCGGTTTGGTCATGGAGGTGGCTCGCACCTCCATGATCCATGCCGGTGCACCCCATTTTCTGTGGCCGTTCGCTGTGCGCTACGCTTCTCACCAGCTTAACTTGCGGCCGCACCCTCAGCAGCCGCAGGTTTCGCCGACCCGTCTTTGGACTGGGTCTCCTGGTGACGCGTCTGCGTTCCACGTCCGGGGCTGCCTTGCTCACGTTCGTGCCTCCGACACGGACAAGCTCACTGCCCGCACCCTTCCCTGCGTCTTCCTCGGCTTTCCCCTTGACGCGTCCGACTGGCACTTTTACCACCCGCCGTCTCACCGCTTCTTTCACTCTCGCAATGTCACCTTTGACGAGTCAGTTTCCTACTACCGTCGCTTCCCCCACCGTGGTCCCCCGGTTACCCCCCCCCTGTTCCTGGTCACTCCTTCCCCGGTAGTCCCTGCCCCTCCTCCTCCTCCTCCCCGTCCCGCCCCCTCTGGTGTGTCCCACGTCACCCCCCTTCCGTCGGAGGACCCGGTTGAGGAGTCTTCTGACTCTGGTGGCCCTCCTGTGCAGTCCTCGCCGGCCGCCCCTCCCCCGGCGTCCCCTCCCCAGTCCCCTCCTCCACCGCCTCTGCCGCCGCTGCAGCCGTCGTTGTCGCTGCCGCCGCCACCGCCGCCGCCGCCATCGTCGCAGCACCCGTTCGCTGACTCTGGGGGTGCTCGTCCCGGTCGCCCTGGGGGTGGCCCCTCTGGGGGTGCTGGTGTGGAGAGTGCCGGTGGTAGCCGAGGAGCAGCTTGCGGTCCAGGTGTCGCCGTTGTGCCGCCGCAGCAGCAGTCCCCGCCGGTGTCAGCCCTTCGCCTGCTCGGCCTTCCGTCCCCCGACCCTGCGTCTGTTCCTCCCCGACCGTCTCCTCCTCTTCCTGTCTATGGCCCTGTTTTCCCTCCGCCGGACTCGTCCCCGGCCTGTCTCCCCCCTCGTTCCCCTCCTGTGTCCCCTCCCCTGTCTCCTGACCCGACTCCTCCGTCGCACGTCTGGTCTCACCGTCCCTCCCGTGCTCGTCCTGCCTCGCCTGTCTTGCGCTCCCACCCTATGTTGCTTCGTTCCCACGCGTCTCGTCCTCCCCTTCTGCCGTCGCCTCCTCCGTCCTCCCTTGTTGTTGCACCCCCCCCGCTGTCTGACTACCTTCGTGCCACTCGTCCCCTTGTTCCTCGGGTCCTTGCCTCTCTCGTTACCGACCCGTCTGTTCTGGTCTCGTGCCTTGACGCTCTTGTCGCTGCTGTCGCTGACTTCGCCTCTACCCGCCGCCTTGACTACGCCACAGCTCTGGTCTCAGACCCTGCCTGTCCTCCGTCTGTCGGGGGTGCTCCTGCCCTTGGCAGTGACGTCCTGGAGGACCGCCAGTTCGAGCTTGCTTTCCTCTCCGAGGCTGCTCCCCATCTCTGTTCCATGCTGCTAGTCCCTGAGGGTGACCCAGACGCTTTTGACATCCCGACCCCTCGCACTTACGCTGAGGCGACTTCGGGACCCTGGGCCTCTCAGTGGATAGCTGCCATGGAGCAGGAGATGGCATCTTGGAGATCCACCGGCACCTTCGTCGACGCAGTTCCCCCACCTGGGGTGAACGTAGTCGATGGCCGCTGGCTCTTCAAGGTGAAGCGCCCTCCTGGAGAGCCGCCTGTCTTCAAGGCGCGCTATGTGGCTAGAGGCTTCAGTCAGCGCGAGGGGGTGGACTTCTTCCAGACCTTCGCTCCGACCCCGAAGATGACTACTCTTCGGATTCTGTTACACCTCGCTGCTCAGCGTGACTACGAGCTTCACTCCCTTGACTTCTCCACTGCCTTCCTTCAGGGCAGCCTACACGAGCACGTCTACTTGCGTCGCCCTCAGGGCTTTACTGGCACCTTCCCTCCTGGAACCCAGTGGCTCCTGCGGCGCCCCGTCTACGGCCTGCGCCAGGCTCCCCGTGAGTGGCACGACACTCTCCGTGCTACGCTTGCTGACCTGCAGTTCTTTCCGTCTTTTGCAGACCCTTCACTCTTCATTCGTGCTGGCCAGACTCCGTTCTACATCCTTGTTTACGTCGACGACCTGGTCTTTGCCACAGCAGACAGGGACGCACTGGCCTCCGTGAAGGCAGAGCTGCTGAAGAGACACACGTGCACTGACCTTGGAGAAATGCGCCGCTACCTTGGCTTGCAGATCTCCAGGGACAGAGCATCGCGCACCATCACCCTGACTCAGTCACACTTGGTGCGCCAGGTCCTTCAGAGGTTCAGCCTTCAGTTCTCCTCTGCACAGCCCACCCCTCTGCCTGTAGACCACAGACTCTCCGCTCCAGTGTCTGAGGAGTTGGTAGAGCCCAGCGGCCCCTACGTAGAGCTGGTGGGTTGCCTCATGTACCTGATGACTTGCACTCGCCCAGATCTCGCATACCCTCTCAGCATCCTGGCTCGCTTTGTGGCCACAGGCAGACACTGACCGCAGCACTGGTCTGTCGCTAAGAGGGTTCTGCGTTATCTTGCTAGTACATCGGGCATGGGGTTAGTGCTAGGAGGACGCAGGCCAGTGGTCCTTACTGGACACACAGACGCTTCGTGGGCAGACGACGCCGAGACACTCAGGTCTACCCAGGGCTACTGCTGCAGCCTTGGCTCAGCTGCCGTCTCGTGGAGAGCTACCCGCTCCTCGTCTGTTGCGCAGTCGAGCTGTGAGGCTTAGATCTACGCTGGTGCCATGGCGGCACAGGAGCTCCGCTGGCTGACCTTCTTGCTCACTGACTTAGGTGAGCGGCCTAGCTCTGCCCCGGTCCTGTTCGCTGACAACAGGGCCATGATCCTCCTGTGCCAGGAGCCTCGACTCGAGGGCAGAGCGAAACACATTCAGCTGCGGTACTTCCTCCTGCGTGAGCTACAGCAGCGACGTCAGGCTCGCGTAGTACACTTGGCCTCAGGTGCCAACACGGCTGATATCTTTACGAAGGCGCTTGCGCCTAACGATCATCAGCGGCACTGTGTACATCTTGGTCTAGTTCCTGTAGCCTCTCACTTGCTAGGACCTTGATTTTGTACTGTCCTTTATATGTATACTCAGACTGGACTTGTGTCCTCTCCCAGTGGCTGGACTAGTAGTGCCGCCCTGCTCTTGTTCTTGCCTTGTCTGTACTCCTTCTGACTGGTCTCTCAGACCCTTGTCTCAGAGGTTGGACTAGTAGTGCCGCCTTGAGCTGTTTGTTTAGGACATTCCCCTATGCAGTCTAGGGGGTGTGTCAAACATGTGTATTTGTCATGTTTGTATAGACTGTATAGGGTCACCTCTTAGAGGGTACAATTCTTAGGTATATCTGTTTGTACTCTCACTCTACCACATACACTTCTCTAATTCTGGTACTTAGTCTCTGGAAAGATCCTAAGGGCATTTTTCTCAGCCCAACAACTGGCTTAAAAAACGAATTACTCTCCAAAGGGGGAGGGGCCTCTATTCGAATTTTGCGCATAAGCCCATTTGGTCGATTAAAGGACCCAGTGTCCTAACCTAGGGGGGGTCTTCTATCCGGGGGATTAGGGCAGGATATATATTTGTTAGTTTGATACAATGGAGCTTTGCCAATCGGCTATCAAAATTTCGTGATGTGCTGTGATGGGGGAAATTGGGCCTCCACACTCATCAATGGGACTGCGAACTCAACAATAAGATTTTGAATATCTCCAAACTAGCATTTTGTATATGCCAAAAAAACCACATGGGTCATTTATTCTCAAAGCTTTTATTTAAACTCACTCCTAATTCTCACAGCTATAATTTCATATCCTATAGTCGCATGTTTGGTCTTTTTAATGTAGTGCAAGGAGCTTTGCACATATTGAGAGAGGCTTGTTACAAGAGTCCCTAGATATATCAATAGTTTCTGCCTCCGTTATCGAATGAGAGGACTGTACGAATGTGCTGGTGTGATAGGTTCTGTCTCCGTTATCGCGAGGTTCCTCCCAACCTGAACTTTCTAATATCCATTGAGGTTCTCACCGTATTAGAAACCTCTGCATTGCATCGAATAACGCACGTTTTTTGTTCAACCGACCTGCACCGAAAATCAAAACTAGGAATTTAGCACTTGCCAGAGTTTCTGCAGAGTTTCTGAACTCCATTCATTCCAGGGGAGCTCTCCCAAGAACGCTTGGCTAGACCACCGTGTTACCTCCGCCAAATTGACTTGAGTGGGGGATTGCGATTGGGGGCAATTTCGTGGGTGAGTGAGAGTAGGTGAGTGCGAGTGGGTGATTGCGAGTGGGTGATTGCGAGTGGGTGATTGCGAGTGGGTGATTGCGAGTAGGGGATTGCGTGTAGGTGATTGCCGCGAGTGGGTGATTGCGAGTAGGTGATTGCGAGTGGGTGAGCGCGAGTGGGTGTTTGCGAGCGATGGGTTCCAGCGAGCTCCATGCGGGACTGTAACACCTCCTTCGCACTCCGAGCCTCCCCGCGGAATCACTATTCCCCATGCTACTGCTACTATTAGTCCAGCGCTCCGGGTGCCCCAAAGCTGGAGCCTCCTCTCGTGGTTCGTCTCGCCCTCTTTTGCCCGCGAATCGGCTCTTCTCTCTCCCTCCTCGCCCCCATGATTGATCATTCGCGGGAGCCCCCGTCGACGCGCGCCGGTCGCCCTCCGCGTCCCCTCGCTGCTTCCGCCTGCGCCCCTGTTCGCCGCACCAGAGAGAGCGGAGGAGTTTTTTGAGTCGACGCAAATTCGAAGGACACTCTTCCGGATTGCTTCCCCGCTCGCCGCGGCAACCAGAGAGAGCGGAGGAGGGGGGAACGAGAGTGGCAAGGGAACCAGTGGTAAGGGAGCCGAGCGGTTTGTGCGTGTATATGGCGGCATGCGTTTCACGCGGTGCTACCAGTGGTAGCAGTAGCAGTTGTGGCGGCGAGAGAGACGAGGTGGAGTGGGGAAGGGAGGGGAGGGTCGTGATGGTGTGTGGTGGGGAGGAGGAGAGGGTGTGCAGTGCGGTGATGGGCGGTGAGTTGCGTGGGTGGGGGGAGAGGGATGGGTGGGAAGGCGAGGGGAAGTATGGGGAGGAGGGGGGGAAGGGGGAGGAGGCAGGGGGAGGGGATCACCTAAGAGAGAGTGTGGAGGAGGGAGAAGAGTGGGAGGAAGAAGAGGAGGAGGATGGTAAGGGATGGGCAGTGGTGAAGGGGGATGAAGACGGGGGGTATGAAAAGGAGGAGGGAGAGGAGGATGAGGAGGAGGAGGGGGAGGAGGAGGAGGAGGAGGAGGAGGAGGAGGAGGAGGAGGAGGAGGAGGAGGAGGAGGAGGAGGAGGAGGAGGAGGAGGAGGAGGAGGAGGAGGAGGAGGAGGAGGAGGGGTGGGGGGGGGAAGGAGGAGGAGGAGTTGGAGGAGGGAAAGAGGGAGCGACAGGGGAAGAGACAACTGTGTGAGGCAGAAGAGGAGGAGGTCGGAGAGGAGGAGGGCGGAGAGGAGGAGGACTGGATGGCAGAGGCACGTGGGAAAGGCAGGCCTGTAGGGCCGAGGGGGGGGGCTGAAAGCGAGGGGTTAAGGCAGACGGGCAGCAGCAGAGCGTATGGGGTCGGGCCTGTGAAGGGTGGAGTGCGTGATGGGTGTGCTAGGACTGGGATTGACGGGCATGGTGGTGGGCATGGTGATGTGCTTGCTGGTGCTGGTGGTGATGCACGTGATGGCGATGGGCGTGCCTGTGAGCATACTCATGGCGGCACGGGCCGGTGCCCTGGCGTGGGCGTGGAAGGCTCGACGGATATGAGCGGCATTGAGGGAGCGATGGACATGGGAGGCATGGAGGGCGCAGTGGACATGGGAGGCATGGAGGTGGATGTGTGGGAGCTGCTGCTCTGGCTGCATGCCAATGGCGCCACACCCCACCCACGCACATGGCCCTTTAAGGTATGTACTGTACACGCATGCATGCATCTGTCGTTGTATCATATTGCTGGCCATGCAATCCCAACCAATGCAATTCTATGCATAATGCACTGCAATGCGATTAACACCCAGCGTGCCATTGCCCAACGGCCCTCGCATGCGCTCGCTGCCTCACTGCACTTGTCCCACCCACCTCTTGCCTCGCGTCTCCCACGTATTCAGCATCCACCTGAAACCGTCTTCTTCTCGCATTGGCCCCTGCTCTTAGCCTTCCGTCCTTTTCTCTCCATCCTTTTCTCTCGAACGGTCCTCTGCCACTTCTCCCGAATTGTCCCCTTGTCTCTCGCCCCCCCCCCCCCCTTCCAATACTGCGCCTCATCCCTCGAATTCTCTTCCTCGTGCTCTCAGTATAGCTGCTTGCCTCCCCCTGGTATGGCATGACATTGCATCACATAATATGGCATGGCATGGCATGGCATGACATGACATGGCATGGCATGGCATGACATGACATGACATGGCATGGCATGGCATGGCATGACATGGCGCATCACGTGCCCTCAGGTGGTGGTGTGTCCTCTGCTGCATCTGCCCCCAGGATCCAGACACGCCGGGCCAAGAGGCAGGTGCGAGAGGAAGGGGGTAGAGAGAGATGCATGGGTTGCATTCAGGGTTGCATGTGGGGTGAGAGCACGAGGGCAGGGGTTGCATGTGGGGTGAGAGCACGAGGGCAGGGGTTGCATGTGGGGTGAGAGCACGAGGGCAGGGGTTGCATGTGGGGTGAGAGCACGAGGGCAGGGGTTGCATGTGGGGTGAGAGCACGAGGGCAGGGGTTGCATGTGGGGTGAGAGCACGAGGGCAGGGGTTGCATGTGGGGTGAGAGCACGAGGGCAGGGGTTGCATGTGTGGGGTGAGAGCACGAGGGCAGGGGTTGCATGTGGGGTGAGAGCACGAGGGCAGGGGTTGCATGTGGGGTGAGAGCACGAGGGCAGGGGTTGCATGTGGGGTGAGAGCACGAGGGCAGGGGTTGCATGTGGGGTGAGAGCACGAGGGCAGGGGTTGCATGTGGGGTGAGAGCACGAGGGCAGGGGTTGCATGGGGGTGAGAGCACGAGGGCAGGGGTTGCATGTGGGGTGAGAGCACGAGGGCAGGGGTTGCATGTGGGGTGAGAGCACGAGGGCAGGGGTTGCATGTGGGGTGAGAGCACGAGGGCAGGGGTTGCATGTGGGGTGAGAGCACGAGGGCAGGGGTTGCATGTGGGGTGAGAGCACGAGGGCAGGGGTTGCATGTGGGGTGAGAGCACGAGGGCAGGGGTTGCATGTGGGGTGAGAGCACGAGGGCAGGGGTTGCATGTGGGGTGAGAGCACGAGGGCAGGGGTTGCATGTGGGGTGAGAGCACGAGGGCAGGGGTTGCATGTGGGGTGAGAGCACGAGGGCAGGGGTTGCATGTGGGGTGAGAGCACGAGGGCAGGGGTTGCATGTGGGGTGAGAGCACGAGGGCAGGGGTTGCATGTGGGGTGAGAGCACGAGGGCAGGGGTTGCATGTGGGGTGAGAGCACGAGGGCAGGGGTTGCATGTGGGGTGAGAGCACGAGGGCAGGGGTTGCATGTGGGGTGAGAGCACGAGGGCAGGGGTTGCATGTGGGGTGAGAGCACGAGGGCAGGGGTTGCATGTGGGGTGAGAGCACGAGGGCAGGGGTTTCATTTGGGGTGAGAGCACGAGGGCAGGGGTTTCATTTGGGGTGAGAGCACGAGGGCAGGGGTTGCATGTGGGGTGAGAGCACGAGGGCAGGGGTTGCATGTGGGGTGAGAGCACGAGGGCAGGGGTTTCATTTGGGGTGAGAGCACGAGGGCAGGGGTTTCATTTGGGGTGAGAGCACGAGGGCAGGGGTTGCATGTGGCGGCCTATGGATTGGAACCTGCTGGATTCCGGGTTATCGTACCCTGTTCACCATGTCGCAACCAATCACCCCTTCCCAACCAACCACCCCACCTTATTCCAGCCACTCCCCTTTCCACCCCATCCCTTTTACCTAAATCCATTCCCGTCCCGTCCCTCTCTCGCGTCCCCTCTAGCCCCCTTCTCCGTGTGTAATGAGTCGATTTTTGAGTCGACTCAAAAATCGACTCATTACACTCGCGTCCCCTCTCGCCCCCTTCTCTAACCATCCCCATCCCAACCCCCCCAGGCCTGTTCTGGGACTAGTGGCATCGCACCACATAGCGCCAGGCGAGCTGCGCTTCTTCCTTCTCTGCACCTCTTCTTCCCACTTCCCTCCCCTTATATTGTCTCTCTACCCTCACTGTCCCCTTCCCTCCCCCCCCCCACACCCCCCCAGGCCTGACCTGGGACTAGTGGCGTCGCGCCACATAGCGCCAGGCGAGCTGCTCTTCTGCCTGCCGCCCAACCTGCAGATCACTCCTGACCGCATCCCCCCCGCCTACTCCCTCCCACACGCCCACCCCTGCCCCTGCTCCTCCTGCTCCCCCTCGCCCTCCCCTCCCCCCTCCGCCTCCGCCCCTCCTTGCTCCTCTGTTCCCTCTGCTGCCGCTACCTCCCTGTCTGGGTCTCTTCAAGAAAGAGAGCGGGAGAAGGAGATGCAAGAAAGGAGGTGTGGGGAGGGAGATGAGGGAGATGGGGAGGGGCAGGATGTTGGCCACTTATGCAGATGTGTTCAGCACCGGGACCCGCTATCCACTGAGAGAGATGGTGGTTGCGCTGGGCACTCAAGAGATGGTGATGCTGGCACTGGTTTAGGGTCAGAACATATGGCTGCTTGTGGCGGTGGCAGCAGCAGCAGCAGCCTTTGCAATGGAAATAGCAGCGGTAGCAGCGGTAACGGCAGTTGCAGCAATTGCAGCAGCAGCGTATGTTCAGTCGCAGCAGAACAAAAGAGCAGCGCAGAAGCAGTGATTAATGGTAGCGCCTTATTAGTTGAACCAACAAAAGCTCCAACGCCGACACCACCATCAGCAGCATCGTCAGCAGCACCATCAGCAGCATCATCAGCAGTACCAGCACCATCAGCAGGAGCATCAGCAGCACCATCAGCATCAGCAGCACCATCACCACCAGCATCACATCTCACCAGTGGGTGGGCAGTGAGCACGGGCATGGCAGCATGGCTATTAAGGGAGGTATCCAAGGGCCCTGCGTCCCCCTGGTCGCCCTACCTCGCCACCCTGCCCACGCACGTGCCCCTGCCGTCCCTCTTCCCTCTCCCCACCCTCCAACAGCTGCAGTGGCGCCCCACTGAAGCCATGGTGAGAGGGAGCGAGGTGGGTGGGGGGAGAAATGGGGTTGGAAGGATGGGGTTAATGGGGTATGAAGGCAGCGTGGAGAATGGTACAGTTGATGGTGGAAGGGTTTGCACGTGCCCCTGCGCTCCTCTTCTTCCTCCCCACCCTCCAACAGCTGCAGTGGCGCCCCAGCGAAGCCATGGTGAGAGGCAGGCGGTTGGGGGGGGGGAATGGGGGATGAAGGGGGGGGGGGGGGGAAGGGGAGGGAAGGGGGGGAGGAGAGAGAAGTGGGTGGGAAGTGGGGCATGGGGGAAAGGGGGAATGAAGGAAGTGCGGAGAATGGTATGGTGGATGGAGGGAGGGATCGCACGTGCCCCTGCCATCCCTCTTCCCCCTCCCACTCTCCAACAGCTGCTGCAGTGGCGCCCCAGCGAAGCCATGGTGAGAGGAAACGAACGGATGGGGGTGAAGGGGAATGGGGAGGGTTGGGGGGGTTGGAAACAAGAGAGGGGCTGACGGATAGGGGGGCTTGTGTGAAGGGCGATATGACATGGTGAAAGGTGATTGGTAAGTGGGGAGGACTTGAGCAAAGGATGGCTGACTAAGTGGAGGTGAAGGAGTATGCACACGCCTCCAAGTCCCCCTCTCCTTCCCCCCTTCACAGCGATGAAGAATATCCTCACCTACCATACCCTCAATATACTCCCACACTACACTACCCTCTCTCCTTCCCACTCTCAGTCCTCTGTCTCCCTGGAGTTGGTCCCTCCCTATCCCCACCCCCTCCCCCCGGTCCACACCAGGTGGTGGCCTACCGGCAGGTGTACGAGCGCGAGTACCAGCAGTTTGTGCCTGATTTCAATCACGCACTGCTGCTACTCCCTCCAACAACCCTAGTCCTCTCACCAACCAACCCGTCCTCCCCCCCCTCCTACCTCCTCCCTCCTCCCTCCTCCCTCCTCCCTCCTCCCTCCTCCCTCCTCCCTCCTCCCTCCTCCCTCCTCCCTCCTCCCTCCTCCCTCCTCCCTCCTCCCTCCTCCCTCCTCCCTCCTCCCTCCTCCCTCCTCCCTCCTTCCCCTTCCACACCAGGCGGTGGCCTACCGGCAGGCGTACGAGCGCGAGTACCAGCAGTGCACGCCCGACTTCATTGCGCGAGCGCCCCTCTCCGCCTTCCTCTGGGCCATGACCGTCATCTCCTCCCGCACCTTCTCCTCCCCCTCCTCGCCCTCCTCCCCCTCCTCACCTTCCTCGCCCTCCTCTGCGGCCTCCCCCTCTAGTCCGTCCTCTCCACCCGACTCATCACCCCCACCAGCAGCAGTGGCGGCAGCGGCGTGTGAGGAGGACAGTTGGGGGGCGCTGCTGCCCCTGGCGGATCTACTCAACCACAGCGAGCAGTACAACGTCACATGGACGGTCAGTCTTGCGCTGCTGCTTCCCACGTGAGCGAGCGCAACCCCAATCTTCCCGATTCTTGCACTGCTGCTTTCCATGCCATCCCCTCGGTGGTCTTCCCACGCGGTCACCCCCTTTTGTTCCCCCCCATGTCTCTTCCCAAATTCTTCTCTCCCCCTTTCTTTCTCCAGCGCGCCCCTTTGGGCCACTACCTCTTCCACGCATGTTTTCCCCCTTGTTTGTTCTCCTCTCCCCTTTCTCCAGCACGCTCCATCAGGCCACTACCTCTTCCACGCCATTGCCCCCATCGCCCCCGGTGCCGACCTGCTCACCCACTACGGGGTGCGATCCTCCCACTCCTTCCTCCTCTCCTACGGCTTCTCCCCCTGCCCCAACTCCTTCGACTCCCTCCCGCTCTTCCGCTCCCCCTCCGACCTGCTTGGCTTTTTTGCTGCACATTTTTTCCCGGGGGATTTTGGGGAGGAGGATCGGGAGGTGGCGAGGGGGGTGTTTGGGGAGGTGGAGGAGAGTGTGCGGAGTGTGGGGAGGGTTGTGAGGGTGCTCATGGGGGGTGTGGAGGGGAGGGGTGGGGAGGGGGAGGGAGAGAGTGGGGATGTGTGTGAGGGAGAGGGTGAGGAAGAGAGTGGGAAGGAGGGTGAGAATCAGAGTGACAGGGAATTTGCGAGGGGGAATGGTGGGAGTCGTGGTTTGGAGAGGGAAAGGGAGAGAAGGACTAGTGGTGAGGGGGTAATGGATACGGGGGAGAAGGAAATGATGGTGATTGGCTGCGATAGCGAGAGTGTGGAGGGAAATGGTGGGAGTAGTGGGGGCGAGAAGGGGAGGGAGAGAGGGACTGTATCTGGAGCTAGTCGTGAAAAGGGTGAGGATAGGCAAGACGAGGGCGTGGTGGTGGTGCTGGGTTCACATGAGGGGGATGAGGAGAGAGGAGGGGCGAGTGAGGATATAGAGGAGGATGACGATGCGAAAAGTGTTGGAGCATCAGATGATGCAGATTCTCACAATTCAGGAGGAACCAGAGGCCAAAGGACCAGTCCAGCAGCAGATCTCCCAGCAGCAGATCTCCCAGCAGCAGATCCAGTAATCAGACCTCCAGTGAAGAGGCCTGCAGTGAAGAGACCTCCGGTGAAGAACCCTCCTGCAAAGAACCCTCCAGCAACAACCACGGTGCACGTGCCGCACGGCGCGTCCCTGTACGGCCCCCAGTACAGCTTCGAGGCGGAGAGGGGGTATGCTGATGGCGACAAGGAGGGCGAAACGGAGCGCGATGATGCAGAGAGTGTTGGGGTGGATGCATCTCCAGGAGGAACGAGAGCCCAAAACGCGAGCCCAGCAGCGGATGTCCCAGCAGCAGATGTCCCAGCAGCAGATGTCCCAACGGCAGATGTCCCAACGACAGATCCAGTATTCAGGCCTCCAATTAAGAGGCCTGCTGTAAAGAGACCTCCGGTGAAGAACCCTCCTGCAAAGAACCCTCCTGCAAAGAACCCTCATGCGAAGAACCCTCATGCGAAGAACCCTCCTGCAAAGAGCCCTCCTGCAAAGAGCCCTCCTGCAAACCCTCCTGCGAAGAACCCTCCTGCAAAGAACCCTCCTGCGAAGAACCCTCCTGCGAAGAACCCTCCTGCAACAGCCACGGTTCACGTGCCGTACGGTGCGTCCCTGTACGGCCCGGAGTACAGCTTTGAGGCGGAGAGGGGGTATGCGGTGTGGCCACATGGGCACGTGGATCCCCGCATCATGGCGGCCTTTGCTGTTCTCTGGCATCTCTTTGTGTACGGCCGAGGTGGGTGTGACATTGTTAGGAGGCGACATTTGAGTCGACTCAAAAGCCACCTCTCTGGCACCTCTACGTGTATGGCTGACGTGGGTGTGAGTGTGTGGTTGAGGTGACTCTTTTGTACCGTTGCTGCAGTTGCTGCTGTTGCTGCCAATGCTCAAGCCCCTGCACGAACCCCTGCTGCCCCTGCCTGCAATAGCATTCTCTATTGTAATTGATCCGCATCCCCCCCCCCCCGATGCCTGTGTTTCCCTCTTTGCCCTCTCCATTCTGTGATCCACCCACCCACCCTCCCTCCCCTCCAGAGACCCGGCACCACCCCATTGCCAGTGCCGGCATGCTCTACTACGGTGGGGCATCTCCCACCCACTCACCACATTCCCTTCTGTCTCCAGCTGCCCCCTCTTCCCATTCCCACAAAAATCCCCCTCCCCCCCCCCTCTCACTTCTCCCCAACCCTTCCCCATCGTCCCCAGAGCCCCGGCACCACCCCATAACCTGTGCCAGCGTGCTCTACTGCTGGGGCATCTCCCACCCAGCGCTGCACCCCCTGCGCCCGCGCCTCTCCCCCCGCCTGCTGGCCTGCCTCAAAGCTGCTCTGGATGGCATACACGCCCGCTGCTGCGCTGTGATTGGTGGGTTCGGGAGTCGGTTAGAGGAAGATGAGGAGGAATTGACAAGTTTGCTGGAGAGAGAGAGGAGGGGGGTGATGAGGGGGGTGGGGAAGAGGAAGGGTGGTGTGCGGAGGGTTGTGGAAGGGGGGAGAAGGGAGGGTGGAGGGGAAGGGGACCAAGGTCGGAGGGAGGAGAATGTTGAGAGTGAAGAGAGCGAGGGTAGTGAGGAAGTTGATAGTGAGAGTGAGGAGGGAGGGGCGAGGAGAGGGGGGATAGCGGAGAGGGAGGCAAGGGAGAGGGAAGTTGTGCTGCGGTATAGGATAGGCAAGAAGAGGCTGGTGGGGGCAGTGGAGAGGAGGCTCAGAAGGTCGCTCACAGGGGGACTGAGGGGGGTGGAGGGGGGAGAGGTGGAGGAGAGGGGAGTGATGGGGAGGTTGATGGAAGGAAGCTCTTCCTGGTAACCAGAGCTGAAGCTGTAGTGGGGTGGTGGTTTCTGTTGATGGACTGATGGGGCTGAGGCAAGGAAGTTGGTGTGCTAAGGAGAAGAGGATGGAAGATTCAGTATACATCTGTGATATAGAGCTGAAGAGGGTAGACGCCGGGGTGAGTGATGTGCAATATGATGCATGCTTCTGCTCCAACAGTGGAGTGACATTTCAACTTCACCTCATCGCATTGTGGAGGTGGATTAACCTGCTTCTCATGCTCAAGCATTGTGTACGGTACATGTGAAGCAAAAACCATGTACTAGAAACACATGCATTGTGGAACCAGTTGTTTGAGGGCGTATTCCTACGAACCTCTCGTCTCGTCAGTTTGCAAAATGACGAGGGGTTCCCGTTTATTACAGAGCGCGTCACTTTTGCGCACCGCGCAAATACGAAATTTGGTTGAGCGAGATTGGTCCCCCCAGAATCCGTCAGCCCTAAACGCCAATGGGCTGCGTTTGCGCGACTGAAACAGTTTCACACCAATTCCCAAATGTTGGGAATTCCTAACCAGCAAGAATGCACGAAACCGAAACTCGGGCTGCCCGGGACTTGTTATTCTGTACGTTCGACAAATTTGGTTTGCTGGTGGTGTATCTGTCAGCCAGTTTCAACTTTTCAAAAATTGTGCAAACGGCATGTTAGATTAACGGAAGGTGCAGGACATACACAGCGGAGGGTCGCAAGGAGTCGCACATGCAATATGCAATCTGCCGAGAGGTCAGGGCAAACTGCCGCGCGGCTCGGAAAAACGCGCAAACAGACGAAAGGCCAAACTGCCGTAGGTCGTAGGAATGCGCCCTGAGTTTCAGGTTCTTTCTTCCTGCCCCTCGGACATGACTACTCAACCAGGTCCATGGGGCTGGGGGATTCCCATCTGTGCCACCCTGTAGCTCAAGGAACTCCCTGTAGATTGCCTAGAGGACTGCACTGGAAAGTGTAAAACGTTCAGCAAAATGGAGTCTGGCGCGCACCGCCTTAGTGATGCTTGCTGCCTCGTCAGTTGATACAACACTAGAATTATGTTTTAAATCCGTCTGATAATCTTATTGGAGGCTTTCAGAGGTGAGCTTGGTAGTCCCTGAAGAAATCATGGTTCCGGGCTACTATAACGGAGCACCCGGCTGATTGGCTGACGACGAATTCGACTCTAGAAGAGAGTCGCCACTTCCAACACTTGCGGCGGCAGAGCCGTTTTTTGCGAACTGAAATAGGATTTCGATGCTTCTAGCTGGTCAACAATTCCGATGTCATGCTCAGACAGGACAAGAGTGAACTGGGGCCTCCCAGCTTCTGACAATGGGAGGTTTAATCTCTTACGTCAAGGTCTCTATTCGTGATTATCTGCCGCCGAAAGTCATTTGTACAAAGTTGGTAATCTCACAACAGATGCTATCAAACAATCGAATAAACGTAAACCGCCGACCACGAAGCACAGCAGCCTGCTGAGCCTTGAACGCCAATGAACCACACGCAGCTTGGCAACTCGTGCCATCCACGAACGTGAACCATTCAGTGAGCAATGAGTGACTGGAGAAAATTCTGGATCGGCGAAAAGACTGACGAGCACAACGAACTACGGTCTCCGACACGCTGAGCTTTATTTCCATCCACGGCTGTCAGCGAGTCTCGCTTCCTCTTGCATGAAGTTAACCTGCTCTTTCCCAGAGACTTATCCAACGGAATGCTTTCTGGTACGTTCAATTCGAAATTCTCTTGGTCCTCAACCAAGTCCAAAAGGAACCTTGAGGACTTCAATTCACCTGTAAGAACGAGAGGGAATGTCACGACATTTCACGAATTCATCATGTAATTGCAAAAGAAGGAGCATTTCCATTACGTTTCTTAAACTTCTTCTTCGTTCTGCGAGTGAAAGTCGTGGTGGGCAAGTTAATCATCTCCAATTGCGGATTTGCGGACGCCGACTGGCGTGAGAGAAGAGGAACATCCTCTGCAAACATAAGGGCCAGGTCAGCACTGGCTCTGACTGTCGATATAGATTACCGTCGTAGGGTACCTCTCCGAATCACGCAGCTGAAGACAAATTCGTGAGCAGCCATTTCTGAGTTGGACTCCTCCCTGGAGCTCTGCTGGTTTGCAACTGCTAGTAGGCCAACAACTGGAAATGATAAGATTGGGATGTTGGCGAGGTTCAAATGCTCGGCAGAAGCAAGGTGGTCCCGAAATCTATACGCGTTATTGATCCACCGTCGTTCGAGCACACCAACCGATAACCATGAATAGTGCAGGATTGAATGCTATTACAGCATTCTTCTTAGTGCTACAAGATAAGGAAACACGTATTTTGATATTACATGCTTCAAATTTTATTACCCGAAATACATTTCGAGTATACAAAATGAAAGAGCATGCGAGAGAATGAAAGTACAGATGGTTGTCCTCTTGAGATATTTCAGGCAGGGATACATAGGTCTCAACTTGTCGTAAATAGTATATCCATTTATTCGGTCTGGGCTTCAGATTGGATTTAGATGGGCTTTTGGCTCAGGGTGCCCCCAGCAGGAGCCCCCGTTTTTCAGGGTCGGGTTTGTTGAGTGACCCACTGGGGTTGCCCTTGAGATCCTCCGGGAAGGGCCACAGGTGCAGAGCCTGGGGGGCTATGGGCGCACTTACCCGCTATTTAACAAGCCCTTTTAACCCAGTGGTTAGTGACTGGGTTTCAGACATGGTACATCAGAGCCAAAAGGTCTTGGGTTCAACTCCCAGTGCCAGCGCTTCAAAGGCGCTCGTATCTTCCACCTATCCCAGCGGGGGGGGGGGGGGTGTTGAGTGACTCACTGGGGTTGCCTTTGAGATCCTCGGGGAAGGGCCACAGGTGCAGTGCCTGGGGGGTTATGGGTGCACTTACCCGCTATTTAACAAGCCCTTTTAACCCAGTGGTTCGTGACTGGGTTTCAGACAGGGTTTTGGAAGTTGCAATTTTTTTCATGGTATTTTTTTTCGAAGGTTGAATGATCATGACTGAAATTTTTCAGAGTTGAGATGATAGGGTTGAACCTTGGCGATTTTTTAGGGTGGGTAGGAGCTTAACCTAGCACATTACCGTAATTCCCCGTATATAATACCCGCCAAAATAGTCACTCCGTAGGTGGTTTATACGAGGGGGGCTTATAATAGGGTGCATTTTTTAGAGCACCCGCTTTTCGGGGGTTGCATTTTACATAACACCCTGCTTGTTTTATGCAGCAAAGAAGAGTATTCCGTTGTTTTTCAAGCTCCTCTCGATTGAAAAAAACAAGCAGGACGAAAAATGTAATGTGAACTACTATTAGCAGCGAAAAAAAAGGGCAGAAGAATCAACACACGTTGCAGCGCGAAATCGAAATGTCAGCGAAGGTTGAGATTTGGGAGGATTTCAACCGTCGAAGTCGCGGATTCTGCTGTGATTTGACGGTCAAAATCCTCCCGAGTGAAATCCTCTCAAGTCTTTACGGTCGTAGGTGCGGCACAAAGCTTGCCCAGACCACAGCACTCAGCAGGGATTGGCCAACGACGCCTGGTTAATAAGTTTCGTCTCAGCGAATGATATGCATTGTTAACAGCCGCTCCGCGCAGTTGTGAGCTAACATGGCCTGGAACACTCAAATTCAAATTGCATTTTACATAACACATAGGCACTATATTTTTTCGGGCCACTGTTAAGACCTAGTCATTTTTTTAGTGAATTTTTATATACACCAGTGTTATACACGGGGGATAACGGTATATTATATAGGGCTTGTTTTGTCAGGCCAAACACAAATTAAGCCTGACTCATCAGGTACATTTTTTTAGGTTTCTGATCCTTAGATCGGATCTTAATTCACTGCGTACAAATTGTCACACTACCAACGTGATTTTGGCCAAGGACCAGTTACGCCCCTCACACCTGCTCCAACTCGCGTCAGACTGCTTGCGTGATTTTGGCGAAGAACCAATTACGCCCCTCACATCTGCTCCAACTCGCGTTACTTGTGTCATGTCAACATATAGTTGTATATGTTATATGCTAGATAGGTGCATGCTCATAAAGGGTACAGCACCATAGCACAAAACCTCCCTGTATGGCACAATCTAGTTCATTGCATTATTCTAACATGGTATCAGAGTTGGGGAGGGTACTCGCTCTAGGGGTGATGGTTCTGGAGGTGCTAGTCCTAGGGTTACTGTCGTGGCTTGTGGTGGTCCTTGGGGGAGCACCGGTGCTGGAGAGGGTTCTCGTTTTGGGGGTGTTGGTGTGGAGAGTCCCAGAGGCAGCCGTTGTGCAGCTGGAGGTTCTGGTGTCGGTGTGGAGCAGTAGTAGTCACCGCCGATGTACGCTCTTCGCCTCCTCAGTCTTCCCTCCCCGACCACCCACCTGCGCCTCCCCCGCAGCCGCCTCCCCTGCCTATCTATGGCCCTGTGTTTCCACTGCCGGACTCGTCTTCGGCTCGTTACCCCCCTCGTTCTCCTCCTGTGTCTCCTCCTATGTCTCAAGACCCGACGCCTCCGTCCCACTTCTGGTCTCGCCGTCCCTCTCATGCCCGTCCTGTCTCTCCTGTTCAGCGCTCTCACCCTATATTGCTCCGTTCCCAGGCGTCTCGTCCTCCCCTCCTCCCGTCGCCTCCTCCGTCGTCGCTTGTTGTCGCTCCGCCTCCACTGTCTGACTATAGTACCTTTGTGTTGCTAGACCTCTTGTTCCTCGAGTCCTTGCCTCCCTCGTTACCGACCCGTCTGTTCCTTTCTCGAGTCTTGACGCTCTTGTTGCTGCCGTCGCTGACTTCGCGTCTACCCGTTGCCTTGAGTACGCCACCGCTCTGGTCTTTGACGCTGCCCGTCCTCCGTCCGTCGGGGGTGCTCTTGCCCTCGGCAGTGACGTCCTGGAGGACCGCCAGTACGAGCTTGCTTTCCTATCCGAGGCCGCGCCTCATCTCTGCTCCATGCTGCTAGTCCCTGAGGGTGACCTAGGCGCCTTTGACATCCCAACCCCTCGCACTTACGCTAAGGCGACCTCGAGACCCTAAACCTCTCAGTGGAAAGCTGCCATGGAAGCGGAGATGGCATCTTGGAGATCCACCGGCACCTACGTCGACGTAGTTCTCAAACCTGGGGTGAACGTAGTCGATGGCCGGTGGCTCTTCAAGGTGAAGCTCCCTCCTAGAGAGCCGTCGGTGTTCAAGGCGCGCTACATTGCTTGAGGCGTCAGTCAGCGCGAGTGTGTTGAGTTCTTTAAGACCTTCGTCCCGACCCTGAAGATGACCACTCTTCGGGCGCTGCTATACGTAATAGCTCAGCGCGACTACGAGCTGCACTCTCTGGACTTCTCCACATCGTTTCTCCAGGGCAGTCTGCACGAGCAGGTCTACATGCGCTGTCCGCCGGGGCTCAACGGCACCTTCGCCCCTGGGACCGAGTGGCTCCTCCGGCGCCCTGTTTACGGCCTACGGCAGGCGCCCCATGAGTGGCACGACACACTGCGTACTACGTTAGGTAACTTACAGTTCTTTACGTCGTCTGCAGACCCTTCACTCTTCGTCTGTTCACGACAGACCCCGTTCTATATCATTGTCTACGTAGATGACTTGGTCTTTGCTACTACAGACAAAGACGCACTGGCCTCGGTGAAGGCTGAGCTGCTGAGGAAACACACATGCACTGACCTAGGAGAGCTGTGCCACCAATTTCGGCTGCAGATCTCCAGGGACAAAGCAGCGCGCGCCATCACTCTCACACAATCTCACTTGGTGCGCCAGGTCCTTTGGAGGTTCGGTCTTCATTTCTCCTCCGCGCAGCTCACACCTCTGCTAGTAGATCACATGCTCTCGGCTCCAGTCCCTGAGGAGTCGGTAGAGCCTTGTGGTCCGTACGCAGAGCTGGTGGGTTGCTTCATGTACCTGATAATTTGCACTCGTCTAGGTCTTGCATACCCTCTTAGCATCTTGGCTTGCTTTGTGGCGACAGGCAGATACTGACCACAGCACTGGTCGGCAGCTAAGAGGGTTTTGCGTTATCTAGCAAGTACATCAGGCATGGGGCTAGTGCTAGGAGGACGCAGGCCAGTGGTCCTGACAGGGCACACAGACGCTTCGTGGGCCGACGATGCAGAGACGCTCAGGTCCTCTCAGGGTTACTGCTTTAGCCTTGGTGCAGGCACTGTCTCGTGGAGGTCCACCCGCTTGTCGTCTGTGGCACAGTCTTCCTGCGAGGCTGAGATCTACGCAGATGCCATGGCAGCACAGCAGCTCCGCTGGCTAACGAATCCTGCTCACAGACTTAGGTGAGCGGCCTAGCTCTGCCCCGGTCCTGTATGCTGACAACAGGGCCATGATCCTTCTGTATCAGGAGCCTCGACTAGAGGGCAGAGAGAAGCACATCCAGCTGCGGTACTTCCTCCTGCGCGAGCTGCAGCAGCGACGCCAGGCCCGCGTTATTAACTTGGCCTCCAGTGCCAAGATAGCTGATATGTTTACAAAGGCGCTTGCGCCTAAAGATCATCAGCGGCACTGTGTACAGCTTGGGTTAGTTCCAATAGCTTCTCACTTGTTAGGACCTTGATTGTGTACTACTTTTATTATTTTCTCTTGACTGGCCTTGTGGCTTTTGCTCCAGTGGCCGGACTAGTAGTGCCGCCCTGGTTTGCTCTTGTCTCGTTTGTACTCTTCTCACTGGTCTTCAGACCCTTGCCTTAGAGGTTGGACTAGTAGTGCCACCTTGAGCTACGTGTCTGTTGCCAGGCATCGCCCCTTGTTCAGCATAGGGAGTGTGTCAACATATAGTATCAGAATGAGAGAAGTGAATGATGAGTAGTGGGAGAGTACAGATAGATATACCTAAGTATTGTACCCTCTAAGAGGTGACCCTATACAGTCTATGCAAACATAACTAATACACATGTTTGACACACCCCCTAGACTGCATAGGGGAATGTCCTGAACAAGCAGCTCAGGGCGGCACTACTAGTCCAACCTCTGAGACAAGGGTCTAAAAGACCAGTCAGAAGGAGTACAAACAAGTCAAGAACAAGATCAGGGCGGCACTACTAGTCCAGCCACTGGTAGAGGACACAAGTCCAGTCTGAGTATACATATAAAAGGGCAGTACAAAGTCAAGGCCCTAGCAAGTGAGAGGCTACAGGGACTA